ATTCACCAATCGTTAATTTAACATGCAGTAAGCGTCACATCGCAGAGTAATATCTGCCTGTGTAACCCGTGATAACAGGGTCTTCACCCGTAATTGTACGTGTAATTGGTTACATGCCCCGTAATTTACCTGCAGCACCGTGTAATATTCACCCGTAATCACTGGGTCTTCACCCGTAATTTTGCGTGTAATTGGTTACATGCGCCCGTAATTCACCTGCAGTACCGCGTAATATTCACCCGTAATCACTGGGTCTTCACCCGTAAGTTTGCGTGTAATTGGTTACATGCGCCCGTAATTCACCTCCAGCACCGCGTAAAATCCACCCGTAATCACTGGGTCTTCACCCGTAAGTTTGCGTGTAATTGGTTACATGCGCCCGTAATTCACCTCCAGCACCGCGTAAAATCCACCCGTAATCACTGGGTCTTCACCCGTAAGTTTGCGTGTAATTGGTTACATGCGCCCGTAATTCACCTCCAGCACCGCGTAAAATCCACCCGTAATCACTGGGTCTTCACCCCTAATTTTGCGTGTAATTGGTTACATGCGCCCGTAATTCACCTCCAGCACCGCGTAAAATCCACCCCTAATCACTGGGTCTTCACCCGTAAGTTTGCGTGTAATTGGTTACATGCGCCCGTAATTCACCTCCAGCACCGCGTAAAATCCACCCGTAATCACTGGGTCTTCACCCGTAAATGTTCACCTGTATCCTTGTGCTCAAATTACGGGACCCGTAACGTGTTACGGACCCGTAATTTCTGTCAAATTACGGGTGGATTGACCCAAAATTACGGGTAAAATGACCCCCCTTTTCCCAGAGTGCAGGAGGTTCGGTGGAAAGCCGGAAAGGACAAAGCACAGCTTGCTGTAGTTACTACGCAAGCTGGCCCGTCTAAGATTACTTCCTCCTCTCGCCCTAAGCAATCTCGCCCTCGGTCCCCTTCCAAACAGGCCTGGGAAACGGTTCGTGCGAAGAAACCGCGGACGTCAACGTCCGGTACTCTTCTCAAGTGTCGGATGTGCTCTCGCCTCAAACCGGCGAACCAGACTTGGGAAGAGCACAAGAAGGACTGCCTTCGCCACCTGCAGGAGCAGATGGCCCGACTACAGGAGAAGACGGCTAGTCTAAACGCGAACCGACCGGCTAATTAGGACGCTGGCAAGCACGAGGGGGTGTCTTTCAAGCAGGCCGTTAGTGCTGTAGCACGTGTAGACCAAGTCTCTTCTGCCGAGCCTGACTTGAAGATTAGGGACTCTGTTGCTCCGCCCGTTTGCGATCCGTTGATATGTGATCGGATGTTCCTTCGTGATGAATTTCGAAGGGTTGAGACCGAACTTGGGCGTCAATTTACGTTCGATGCCGCTTGTAACGACTCGGGCGACAACAGTCTCTGTTCGCGCTTTGCCTCTCCATCCAACTCGTTCTTTGATACAGACGTATCTGGCGAGTTTGTTTGGATCAATCCCCCATACACTCATATTAAAGAATGGCAGCAACATTACCACCGCTGTAAGCTAAAAAATCCTAAAACAACTTCTGCGGTGTTCGCCGTTCCTAAATGGACTCAAGTCGAGTGTCTTATGCGTTCCGCTGGATACCAGCTACTCAAAACTTATGCTGTTGGAACACAGTTGTTCTCCCAACCAGTAGACGTTGGAACGCGTTCGGACTTGCCGGGCA